GGCATCCTCCCTGCATCTCTGCATGGCTTCCTCCCTGCATCTCTGCATGGCTTCCTCCCTGCATCTCTGCATGGCTTCCTCCCTGCATCTCTGCATGGCTTCATCCCTGCATCTCTGCATGACTTCCCTCACGTACACTCAGCCACACACGCACGCACGCAAACACAAAAACACGCGCACTCACGCCCACGCACACGCGCACGAGCGCGCGCGCGCGCACACACACACACAAACACACACACACACACACATTCACGCACACTCTCTCGTACACTGACACACTGATGCGCGAAGCAATGCACTGAGTCACACGCATCCCATGTGTACCCTTCTGTCTACGGCTGATTTGGACCGGGATGGATGGTTGGGGGGGCGGTAAGGAGGGAGGGTTAGGGTATTGTTGTCAGCACACAAGTGGATTATCAGCCGCCGGCACACACACGAAACAATTTAGATAAGGAAATCAGAGAAATTAATACAATAAGCAGCACGAGCGAATCACTGGCACAATGCCAACTACATCCCTTCCTTCCCCGTGCCATGCCTATCTTCTCTCTAACATCGTTCCTCTTCACCTTCCTCTATCCCACGTTGCGTAGAAATTCACGTGTTAATGTGGCGACACTGGCTACCTAGGGTTCGCATACTCTGCAGTGATGAGAGTCAAGCAGGGAGAAAAGCGTCGGCGCATGCAGGGTAGTGGCATCGCGGGGGAACGTCTCACACTGCAGGGAGACCTCAACAATCAATCGCGGTTCTGATGTTACCAGGGTAGACTGTTAAAATAACGGGGTAGGCTGGGGTTAACAGGATAAACTATTAATATAACGGTGTAGGCTTGGAAATAACAGGGTAGGCTGGGAAATAACAGGGCAAGCAGGGGAATAATAGGGTAGGTTGTGCAGTAACAGGATAGCCTGGAGTATAACAGGGTAGGCTGGGAGTGTGGCAGGCTAAGCAGGGTATAGGGATGGCGGCAGTGCGGCGTATATTTGCGGAGTTAACATTTGCGGAAGCCACATTGTCATGTAGATGACAGCGTGCAGAGCCGCATAAAGAGAAAGCTAACACATCAATCGGTGCTGCCGCAGCGCATGTACGCGCGCGCGCGCGCGCGCGCGTGTGCGTGTGTGTGTGCGTGCGTGAGTGTGCGTGCGTGTGTGCGTGTGCATCACATATACATGAGCATTGGTGTACAGCTAGCTACACGCACGCGCACGCACACACGCACGCACGCACACACGCACGCAAAAACAAACACACACCAGACAGTGACGCACGGCCTACCAATATCTGGCAGCAGACTCATTACATCATCGTCATCATTGCAGATACCCGTTACCGTGACAACCAACCACTCCATCACATCAGAACTGCCACGCGCCTGCATCCACACGTTAAACTAATAAAATCATAAATCATTCTCCCCTCTGAATCTGCATCCTGGTCGAATGAATATTAAAAAAACCTACATGAATAACTGCCCCCTCCCTTATTTCGATAATGCAGATAATACCATTAATGGAACAGCCGCCACAACCCGCAAGGGAGCAGCACTTTAATTTTGACGGCGCGACGGATTGCATTTGGAATCATCGTACTTGTTAAAACATAGAACGCGCACGCGCTGGTTAAAATACAGACAAAAAGCAATATCATGAACAAGTAATTAAGGATTCGGAGCCATTCCACCATGTCGGAAGGAAGTGGAGTGATGACGGATGAATTTATGTATGATAGGCAGGGGGAATGGACTGGCAGCGTGTGGCATAGCTCTACGATCGAGTGTAGCCCCTTCGCTCCTGCCACAGGTAGCGAGTGGTAGGGCTTCATGTATGGTAGGGAGTATCAATTGTATGTGCGCGAAGCATATCACAAAGGTCACCGCTGCTACACCATCCTCTGCTGCTGCTGCTGCTGCTGCTGGTGGTGGTGGTGGTGGTGTTGCTGCTACTGCTGCTGCTGCTGCTGCTGCTGGTGGTGGTGGTGGTGGTGTTGCTGCTGCTGCTGCTGCTGCTGCTGCTGCTGGTGGTGGTGGTGGTGGTGTTGCTGCTAATGCTGCTACAGCTGTTGCTGTTGCTACTACTGCTGCTGCTGCTGCTGCTGCTACTGCTACTGCTACTGCTACTGCTACTGCTACTGCTACTGCTACTGCTACTGCTACTGCTACTGCTACTGCTACTGCTACTGCTACTGCTACTGCTACTGCTACTGCTACTGCTACTGCTACTGCTACTGCTACTGCTACTGCTACTGCTACTGCTACTACTACTACTACTGATTGATTCGAGGGCGCGCAAAAAAATCGTTGTACTCACCTCTCTCGATCCAGCTCCTGTATCCTACTGTACACATCCCTCCCTCCGCCTCCTCCGTCAGCAGCAGCTAGTCTCATGATGGAGGCTGCGGAATCCCCGCACAGCTTCTGGCTGCACTCCGACTCCTGCTCTGCCTTCTCCGGCTGCTCCCTCTCTCCCTTCTTTAGATCCGTGCTCATTACTCCGTCTGCGCGAGAAACAAGAGGAAAGGGGTAGAAATTAACTTTTGAACAAGGGGGTCCAACGCACTCCCTGCCCTCACAAAGAGGGAGTCCGCAGCAAAATGAGTCTGCAGTCTGAAGTTCAAACTTAAAGATTTGCTGGAAAAAATACGGTAATTCCACGTGGCTGTGCTCTGGAACGAACTGGTTAGTATAGCAGAATTTTCAGGGAGTCACACGGACTCAGGACGGACAAATCAGGGAGTCTGACAGTAAAGCAGGGAGTATTTGACTCTGGACTCGCGTTAATTTCACACCCTGAGAGAGGAAGACATGCCGTCAGATAGATACACACGGGGAGTGAGAGATACGGACACGTGAAGTCACTCAGGGGTCTGTTGGGTTATCTTACATGGGGGACCTTTTAAAGGATGTTGGGGGCTGTGTGTGTGTATGAACACATACGTACCCTTACATCATGGTGGGTTACATTACATAGGTTACCTTTCATATAGGATGGTAGAGGCAGTGTGTGTATGAACACATACGTACCCTTACATTACATATAGGATGCTGGAGGCAGTGTGTGTATGCACACATACGTACCGTTACATTACATATAGGATGGTGGGTTACATTACATAGATTACATTACATATAGCATGGTGGGGGCAGTGTGTGTATGCACACATACGTACCGTTACATTACATATAGGATGTTGGAAGCAGTGTGTGTATGCACACATACGTACCGTTACATTACATATAGGATGTTGGGGGCAGTGTGTGTATGCACACATACGTACAGTTACATTACATATAGGATGTTGGGGGCAGTGTGTGTATGCACACATACGTACCGTTACATTACATATAGGATGTTGGGGGCAGTGTGAGTATGCACACATACGTACAGTTACATTACATATAGGATGTTGGGTTACATTACATAGGTTACATTACATATAGGATGTTGGGGGCAGTGTGTGTATGCACACATACGTACCGTTACATTACATGTAGAATGTTAGGGGCAGTGTGTGTATGCACACATACGTACAGTTACATTACATATAGGATGTTGGGGGCAGTGTGTGTATGCACACATACGTA